CGAAGCCGTCGCCTACCTTTCCGCGGCTGTTAGCCGCGCCCCCGCCAGGCCTCGGCACGTTTCTGGCGGGCCTTTTTGTTCCTACCACCCGCGGCTGTTAGCCGCGCCCCAGATGTGCGTCGACTGGTCTCAGGCGAACCTCTTCCGAGCATCCCGCGGCTGTCTGCCGCTCCCCAGCTGCGCATTTTCCATTTTCACCGGCTGTTAGCCGCCCCCCATCGAAGATAACTGAAGTTCCCGCGGTTGTTGGCCGCCCCCTCTCTACCGAGCGCTTCTGGCCCCCCGCGCCCCTTCCGGGGCACGCGGGCCGGTTGGTCCCCTATGCGCCTGCGGGTTCGCGACGGCCCTGGAGGTCGGCCTGTTGGACTCCCTGCAACTCGGCGCGGATCGCGACTCGCGCCTCCATGGACTTCCCGGGCACGGTCTCCCCCGACGCGGGCCTCCATTTGGGCCGCCTGCTCGCTGGCGCACGTTCGCGGACTCGGCGCTCGGGTCTGGCAGGCTCATGGCCTTAAGGGTGGCGATTGTCTAGAGTGCGCGGTCGCCCACTCGCTGCATGCGTACCTGGAGAGCAACGTGTCCTGGCGGCCGCCAGCCCGGTCCTTCGCCTCTGAGCGGCGCCGCGCGTGCGTTCTCCTTTTCCTTCTTTTCGCCGTCATTCCGCTTGTTTCGCCTTCTTCGTCGTCTTCGCCATCTCCTGTTTCGCTCGCGGTGCCGCGCTGCGTCGCCTGCTCGTTTTCGTCACTCTAGCACTGGCCCAGCGTAGTGGCCTTTTTTTTCCGCGCGACCTTAGGACGCCGCGCGGGTGCCCGCTCGCGGTCGCGATCAAAAAGCACCCCCACCAGCCCATCCAGAAACGACAGAGGGCAGGGGCGGCAGGAGATTCGGTCTCTTTACAACCAGAACAACCACTTTACAACCAGATGGGTTACTTTACAACCAACATAGGATTGGAAAGTATGTTTTCTCAACGAGAACGTCCACTTTGCAACCAGAACGGCCCACTTTACAACCAGAACGGACCACTTTACAACCAGAACGGGCCACTTTACAACCAGAACGGACCACTTTACAACCAGCTCAGAGTGGCCGTGCGTGTTTGGGCGTTCCGCAAAGTGCTCCAGAGCAAGTGGGCGCTCTGAAAAATGCCCCAGAGCAATTGGGCGCTCTGAAAAATGCTCCAGAGCAAGTGGGCGCTCTCAAAAGTGCTCCAGGGCGCGCGGACGCTCTGAAAAATGATCCAGAGCACGTGGGCGCTCTGGAGCCCGAGCGCCTGAACTCTCTGCGCAGGCCCCAGCGATGCCTCTGAACCCGAGCGCCTGAACGCCCCGCGCAGGCCCCAGCGATGCCTCTGAGCCCGAGGACCTGGGCGCTCTGCGCAGGCCCCAGCGATGCCTCTGAGCCCGAGGACCTGGACGCTCTGCGCAGGCCCCAGCGATGCCTCTGAGCCCGAGCGCCTGGACGCTCTGAGCAGGCCCCAGCGATGCCTCTGAGCCCGAGCGCCTGGACGCTCTGGCGCTCTGAGCCCAGCAGACTAAGACAGGGCTTGCTAGCAGGGGCCAAGCGGCCTCAACAAGGGCCCCGTGCTCGCACGGGAATAAGGCGACAGCATACGTAGGAAGGCTCAGGGCGACGCGCTGCCCATTTTAGGGATCACTCACAGGAAGCGAGCCCAGTGGCCTCCACAAGGGCCCAGCGCTCCAGGGAACTAGGCCATTGGCACCGCGGGTCTCTTGGGCCACGTTGGCCCCTGAAGCCCCACGGTGTTCTGCAAGGGGCTAAGTGCGCCCGCTCCAGTTGGCCCCCTGCTGCTCCTCGTCTTGGAAGATCGAGGTTCAACGTCCCGAATAAATGCAACTATTTCGAAGATCGTTTCTTCCAGCGTCAGCCACGGTGCCAGCGCAGCAACGCAGGTATCGTGCTCGGGCAGCAGCCTCAGCCACCGTGCCAGCGCAGCAGCTTGAGCCACCGTGACAGCGCATCACCGCCACCTCTGTGCCTGCTACCGCCACACTTACCGCTGCAGCCCCGCTACCACCACAATTCCGACTGACCCCCCGCTACTACCGCAAATCCCATTGCAGCCCAGCTACCACCACAGTTCCCACCGTCGCCTGGCGACCACCACAGTTGCCACCGCAGCTTCCCAACACCATGCAGTTCCCATTGTAGCCCCCGCTTCCACCACATCTCCCACTACAGCTTTCCACTGCCATGCAGCTCCAGTCTTGGACGGGATCATGGTTTATTCGTATGTCCTGCGCGACTAGCCTTCGCCCGTCAGAAAAAAAAAAAAGGCAGGGCCAGCAATGGCATAACTGACCGGCAGAGCTTAGAGAGCAGGTCAAAACTCGAATCCGCCCACCAGCACGCAACATGCCATAGCGCACCAGGTCGCCGCATCGCCAACTCGTGCGCAGTGCTTCTTCGTGCGCGATGGGCAACTATACAACCAACATGCCTCAAGGAGCCCAAAGCCACCCTTGCGCTTGCCCACGGAGTTTTCAGGGAAAGGCACGCGTGCATTCAATATGTGTTTTTACTTGCCTGGTTGTAAAGTGCCCTTCCTGGTTGTAAAGTGCCCTTCTTGGATGTTATAAGCTGGTTGTAAAGTGACCCATCTGGTTGTAAAGTGCGCTTCTGGTTGTAAAGTGACTCACACGCGGGGCGGCAGGGCGCATGCATTCGCGCAGCCGTCTTCGAGAAAACAAGGATCACGAATGGCCTCCTGCATTGAAGTTTAAGATGAAAACCGGTGCAAGCTACGATGGTGCTCCGATGGGGTGTGATGGGGTGTTTCAATGACGCGTAATGGCTGTTGCGCTGGTTTGTATATTCAGCTCGCGTGCGTTCCGAAATTTGGAGGCATCTTGGGGTTATGTTGGGAATCTCTTGGGCCCCTCTTGGGGCCTCTTGGGGCTCTTTCTTGGGGCTCCCCTGAGGTCCTCTTAGGGCCTTTTTGGTGTTTCTTGGGGCTCTTGGGGCCCTCTTGGCGGTCTTTGGGAGGTCTGGGGGCCTTTTTGGGGCTCTTCTGGGATGCCTGAGGGGCCTCTTGGGGCCGTCTTGCACCTTTTCGTTGAAAAGAGGGGGCTCCTTAATTCGGACCGCTCCCCCATCGGAGGTTCAACAGGGGCGTCCTGGGGCCTTCGTGGCCCGCTCTTGGAGCGCTCGTGGGCGCTCTTGGGGCCGTCTTGGGCCCTTTGGGACCCCTGTCGGGGCTATCTTGGACCATTTGGGGGCCATTTTGAGGTCTCAGCAAGAAGGCGACCACACGTGTTTTTCTTTAGGTGTTTGAAGGGGTTTGGCCTCTTGGGGGGGTCATCGGAGGCTTCGGACAACACTTGAAACCGTCTTGGGGCCGTCTTGAGGCATCTTGGGCGTGTGTCGGAGGCTATCTTGACCCATCTACCGCTCTTTCGGGCCATGTTGGACGCTGCTATGCGTCGGCCCCCCCCCGTCCAAACGCATGGAAAGGGGGGGGGGTAAACCTCCCAAGCGGGGGCCAGGACCGGGGTTGGAACATGAAACGTCTTAGACCACCTGCGCCCAGAGGGTTGGTGAGGGCTGCGCGGGGACGCCCTCGGACCGTCTTGGAGCTTCTCTGGGACCCTCGTGTGTGCCTCCTGCAGTGTCTTGCGGCCTCTTTCGTCGGCGCGGTCAGGGAGGACGGCAGGGGGATTCGGACCTTTTCAGGAGCCTTCTGTTCGGCGAAGTTTTCTGAATCTTCTGCGAAGCCACAGACGACTTCTTGGAAGGCCGAGGGCTTCGAGATGCCCCGCCGCCTTCTGAGAAGGACTGCCCCCTCTTACTTCCCCCTCGGCGCGCCGCCGACTCTTGGAGCCTCCCGAGGGCCTCCGTGGCCCCGTTCCGCGTTTTTTGGCGGGTTCGTGGTGGACTTTGGAGGTCTGGTTGGCGGGCTTGGTCACCAAACGGCTCACGCGGGACACCCCGAAAGCGCCCAGGAGCGCCCAATTTTTCCCGAGCACTCCGTGAGATCAGCGATCCGAGCCCGTATGGCGGAGGACATGGATACGTTGACGACGACGTGGGCGATTGTGACGACGGTTTTGTTGCGAACGCCGACGAGGACTGGATGGGCGTTGTTTGGGACATGGGGGTGGGCGATGAGGATGCAAGGAATAACGCCTGGACAGGTCACAGGGATAACCAGGGGGACGGTTGTGGAGATATGGTGGGGGGACGTTCTAGAAAGTTATTTCACAGGTTTCGACAACACAGGGCAGCGATTTGTGCGACCTTATGAATCATACGAAACGTTTAACTCCTACAGCTGTCTTTGGGCACTGACTTTCCGTTGACACCGCATCGTGGTGGGTATCCAACGGCCCCTCTGCCCCATCAGGACACGTTTCGAGTGCGCCACTGAAGGCGCGTCAGAGCAAAGCACGGCTCGGCACCACGGTGCGGCATGGCACCACGCGAATTTACGGCGTGGGCATCGAATAGCGCCACTGCGCCGGCACGGCACAGCATGGCATGGCACCAGCATGGCATGATTCCACGGCATGGCACGGCGCAGCAGTTCGGCGATGATGTCACAGTTTGGATACAATGGTGCACCATGGGTTGGCACGGCGCCGTGGCACGACATCGCGCGTCCGCCTCATCAGATCATGCTGCAAATGTCACAGTGCACGTACCACGGTATGGCGCGGCTTGGTGCTGCGTCATTGCATGGTGCCTTCGGCGACACAATCACGCTTTAGATGCCCATGTCATTGGGAGGTGTATGTTGATGCAAGAATTCTTACGGCTTCAGTTTGTAAGGGAGAGACGCATTGCGTCGTCGAATTCGGGTTTGATGCGTTGAGGTGCTCGTCGTCGTTGAATGAAGTCGATGTGCATTGCATCGGTGTTCAGTGTCATTCATGCATTCGTGTGTTTGATTAAACGCGTCGTGCTGTACTACGTATGCGCGGCCATGACAGGTTATGGATATTTTGTTAGCCACAAGTGTGCTGGACAATCACCCTGGCCAGGTCACCATTACCGTCTACGATTTCGATTCGTGTTCTGGCAACGACTTCATTGGAAAAGTGACAGTGCCGCTGCACGAGACCGAGGGTGAGGTCACGATGCGCTTGGAGGGGGCGACTGGCAAGCAGGTGCCTTGCTTCCTCTATCGGTCCACGGTGCACTAGCGCATGCAAAGTTGCTGATGTCCCTTGTGCGTCTGTCGGGCCTTTCTTCGAAGAGAAATAGATTGCGCATACATCAACTTTGGGAGGTCCGCGCGGAGTTCTTGGATCGGCGCTGGACCCCCCTCCGGGGCGGCGCCAGGGGGCGCCGCCAGGGGGCCCAGCGCCGATGCAAGAGATCCGTGTGGTGCGCTGGATGCTTGGGCGTACTCGAGTTGTTGTGCTCCTCTGCCTTCCCCGCCCCGCATGGGCCGCGCTCTCGCCTGCAGCCGGGGCCCTCCTCCCCCCCCGCGGCCCCCGCCCCGCGGCTGCCACGCGCATGCCCGCTGCAGCGGTGGCGCTCGGTGCGCCGCCGGCGCGTGCCGCCGCGGCGGGCAGCGCCGCAGCCTGGAGCAGGCGCCCGCCTGGCGCCCGCCGGCAGCGCCCCACCGCGGCGGCGGGGCGCGCCGCGGGCACCGCCGTCTGCGCCGGCCTGGCCGCGAGGGCGCTGTCGCGGGGGCGGCTGCGGGCGATGAGCGGACGCAGCGGGGCCGCCCAGGCATCGGTTGGTCTGTGCCTCCCAGATGGGGTCGGAGCGGATGGGTTCGGAGCATCGCGCCGCCTCGCCGATGCATCGGCAATGCGGCTCGATGTGGAGCCCGATCTTATCCACGCCGTTGTCGCTGATGCATCGACGATGCGGGGCGACCCTCGGACCCCATCTACTCCGACTCCATGGGGGATGCCTCTGGCCTGGGTGTTGCCAGGGGCGGCCCACTGGGGATTGTTTTTGGAAGGGTGTCTTTAGTGATGGGGCTCCCCCCCCTTCCAAGCTCTCGGCTGGGAACAGCTGTTCCTCCCCTCCTCGCCCCTCCCCTCCTCGCCCTCCTCGCTCTCCCTCCTCGCCCTCCTCGCGCTCCCCTCCTCGCCGTCCCCCTCGACCTCCCCCTCTTCGTCCTTCCCCTCCTCGCCCTCCTCGCTCTCCCTCCTCGCCCTCCCGCCCGCCCCCCAGGATAACCTGACCTTGTCGGCTGCGCAGGTCCGAAAGGGGTACGCAGTACTGGTGCGCGCGGGATTGCGTCTGCGTGGGGTTGCCCAGAGCGAAAAGGTTAGGTTCTCGACCAGCACCGTTCCGCAACGATCTCACAGACAGCCGGTACCCACTTCGCAGCAGACTCAGGCTCTTCAGCGGGACAGTGACGCCAACGGTCACGTATGGGTGCGCAACATAATATGCTTCTGACACTCCGACGGACCCAACGACGCATGTTACGAGCCTCGAGACGCCGACAGAGACCGCATCACATCAGCACCGCCGAAAGCACAACCAACCCCGACACTGAACAGCATGACGGCACAAGCGACGACAGCAAGTCCGACGTCAGACAACATCTGGATTTCGACGACGTCGATGACGAATCCAACATTGAGTCCTGGGACGCTTCCACTCGCAGGGCGACCCGCGCCGCCTCAGGCATTGCGACGCGCGCGCATGTGGAATATTGGTATACAATTTATCACAAACACAAATGGAAATGGGCGGGCGAGTTGCCACACAACCACACCACAGTTGGGCCCGACTGGCAGCGGCATGGGAACCTGATATCCACAACTTCCGGCCAGCACAATGCCGACAAGGCGAAGAGCGGAAACGGTGGAGTGACGACATCGCAGAATTCTTACAGGAGGGTTTGGTTAGAAGTGCACACGGCACATGGGTACAGAGTGCCACCAATTCCAAATTCTGGGCAGACCTCGAGTGCGACTTCTTGAAGTTCACACGCCTGTGACCAGGCTCCGGCCCGCCCGCGCCGCCCTGTCGGCCCGCCGGCCGGCGGACTCGCGCGTCTGCGCCTGCGTCCCCCCTACCGAATAAGCCGGGTTATCGCCGAAAAACAAATTACGGTGTCATGCCTAACCCAGATTTGTTACCGAGAAACGCAGTACGGAGGTTTGTCGTAGCTTTCACCTCTGGGGGTCCTCGCCGGGCATAAGGACCGTCAGACAACGACTCGTGATACGAAACCAGCCCTGGGGGAAAGAGTCGTCTTCAGACTTCTTGGGAGATGCCACCAGCTCTTCAAGGCACTGCAGGCCCAGGTGGCGTCCAGAGCGCATCGCGCAATCTCGGCATGAAAAAAATTGCCTCCCCAGGGCCAGGATCTCCTCTCGCTGCCTCCGAAGGCTGGCGTGGCCTGGGGCTCCCGCTACCAGCAGGAAGTGGCCGTGATGGTCCACGTCGTCCAGTCCGCAGTGCAGCTATGCTCGGAGGGGGGCCAGCTGATCGAGGAGCAAAGCTGCACATAACCCAAATTTTCGGAGGCCCGCGTTGATCTGTTGGGTCGGCGCTGGACCCCCTTCCACGGCGCGCGGAGCGCGCCAGGGGCTGCGCAGGAGGCGCCACCAGGGGGCTCCAGCGCCGATCAAAGACACCCGCGCGGACGTCCGAAAGTTCCTTTTCATGACATCTGTTGCTCCTCCAGTTGAGACAGCGGTGGCTCCCCTGACCAGCCCAAATTCGATCAAACTCGGCCCCCGGACCACGCCCAGGGCCCATCCTGATTAGTTCTGTCGAGGCGGATCTAGCCGTGGCGACGAGAAACCTCTACGAGGCCCAGGAAGGACGAGCCTCGGCAGGGGGGCCCGCGGGGGTCTCGACTGGCCCTCCTGCGATATGCAGAGATGTGGAGCGCGGAATGAAGGTCTTTGGTTGAGCCAGAAGGGGTTCCAGCGACAAGGGGGTTGTGCAATAGATTTGGTGCAATAGATTTGTCGATGCATCGGCGATGCATCGGTGATGTGATTCGATGTGGAGCCCGAGCTCCTCCACTCCGACTGCACCGATGCGTCGGCGATGCGCCCAATGTGGAACCCGACTTCCTCGACTCTGGCCGCAGCAGTGCGTCGCCGATGCGTCGGCAATGCGCAGGCGATGCGGTGCGATCCTTCAACCCCATCCACTCGGACCCATTTCGGGAGGCCTTTAATGATCCCCAAACATACACCATCATCACCTCCCCCGTACCCTTCCTCTCCCAGGAAAGAGAAGAGGAAGAGGAGGGTACAGGAGGGAGGGGGAACGGATGTGGTGGTGGTTAATGTTCTTGGGGCCCGCGATGAAGGTGACCGCCGCGCCCTCGCAGGGCAAGAAGATGGACGAGCGCGACGTGGTCGCCGGGCTGTCCTGCCTCAAGCCAGGCGACTCGACGCCGGTGACCGCGGCGGACCTCGCCGTCCAAGCCCTCGCCTTCGAGGCCGTGCGGGCGGAGTTCCCCGAGGACGCCCTGGTGGGCGAGGAGTCGAGTCACATTAAGCGGCACGAGCGTAGGCACCCTCGGCCAGGCTGCGCACGCAGTCGCCCGATGGCTCTCCTGAGGGCACAGGGCGAACAGGGTTGAGTAGTCGGGACAAGGCGAGAGAGCATCTCAGCGTTCCCACTCTGTCCTTTTCCTGTCTCTTTCTCCATATTTGCAGCGTTCACCCAAAGGTTCGCCCTTGTGTGTTCTGCTCGATTTGGCCTCATGTTGCGTACTGCGTGTCGCATGAGCGAACGTTCGGAGTTCCGCGCTGATTTCTGTGATCGGCGCTGGGCCCCCCTCTTGGCGAGCGGAGCGCTCCAGGGGCGGCGCTGGAGGCGCCGCCAGGGGGGGGGGCCCAGCGCCGATCCGAGAAATCTGCGCGGAGCTTTGAAAGGTTATCCAGCTGCCTGCGGCACTCCCCTCCAGCGCGTGTGCAACAGCGTAGCAGGAATGAGTTTGATTTCTTATCGCTTCGCGAATCCCAGACCATCCAGGAGCGATGCCAAAGGGAGCTGCCCTGATTGGGGGAGCGTCGCATCATTTGAAGAGCTCGGGGTGTCTCCGTGGGCCAGAGGCTTCTTGGATGCCTCTCGGAGTCTTTTGTGATGTTTCTCGGGGTCTCTTGAAGCATCTTAGGGGGCCTCATGGCGGCTCCCTTGGGACGTCTTGGGGGCCTCGTGGTGGTTTTCGGAGCCTCTTGTGGCGGATTGGGTGCCGCCTTTTGGGGGCCGCCTGGGGGCCTCTTCGGGTCCGCTTGGGGATTTCTTGGGGGCCTCTTTTGGGCTGTCTTGGGTTTGCCTCCTCGGGCTCTCCTGGACAGCCTCTTCGAGCCCTCTTGGTCCGTCATGAGGCCCCATTGAGAGCATCTTGAGTGGTCTTGGGCCATCTGAGGCCGTCTTGGTTTCATTTTGGCTGTCTTCGAAGCTGTCTCGGAATAGAGCGCTGGACAGCAAATGTTGAGGTGCGCGGGGGGGGGGGGGGCATTTTCTGAACGATGCGCGCGGCGAGCGGGAGCGTCGCCACTGGAAAGACTAAACGAGCCTCGCGGGATAACAGAAGATCATTCTAACACGCCCACTCCTTGCAGGCACGGTGGCCGATGCTTCTGCCGGTTTCCGCTCCTCGGCAGGAGGACTCCAGCCACTTGCGGGAGGACCCCGCGCTCTGCGAGCTGGCCTTCGGCCTCTACGCGCAGCGTGGCGGCGGCCTGGGCCGCGACGCGTTCCTGGAGGCAGTGGACGCCGGGCGCGGCCCCGCCGCCGGCGAAGGGCGGGTGTGGGTCATAGACCCCGTGGACGGCACAAAGGGCCTCATGACGGGCCGGGGCTACGCCATCTCGAAGAAGAAACAAGTGCAAAAAACACAAATGTTGGGTGCTCCGCGCGGGTTTCTCGGATCGACGCTGCGCGCCCCTGGCACCCTCCGCGCGCCAGGCAGCCAGGGAGGGGGTCCAGCGCCGATTCAAGGAGTCATTGTGGAGTTCCGATGGTTTGTGTGTTGTGCAGTTTTTTGTTCCTCGGGCCGTTGGCCTGGCTCTGCTCGTGGACGGGGAGCCCGTGGTCGTCAGGGGCAATGTCAGGGGTGGATAGGCCCAGGGGGGAACACATCGACCCACAATCGCCCACTCATCGCCGACGCGGGCCTGACAGCCCACCCCGCCCAGGAACGCGCAGTTCTGCTTCCGGGGGCCACTCGCCGATCTTTCGGCGATGCACCGCCCATTCCTGCGCTCGATGCTTCCCCCGTCCCCCCCCCCCCTGTGCGGGCCACCCCTTGACGTTTCCCCTGAGGTGGGGGCCCTGGGGGTGCCGAACAGCCACAGCCTGTGCCCGGGCTGCCCTCCCTTGCTCGTCGCCGTGCGGGGCTGCGGCACGCGCTGGTGGCCAGCCTCGGGCAGCGGGCCGCTGGAGCACCGGCCCGCCCGCCCGACGTGGGCGCCGGAGGGCGCGCCCGAGGGCGGCGCGCCCGGCGCGGCGCCGTGGGCGCTGTCGCCGCAGTCGGCGTGGCCGTCCTGTGCCCCCTTTGGAGCGGCGTGCCCTCCGACCGAGGTCTCGGGCGAGGGAGAGGCTCCGATGCCTCGGGGTCGGCGGCGACATCCGAGCCGCAGCCTGGCCGATGAACAATTCAGGCAACTCATGGGCAGCAGGGTTTGGGCTCGGAGTTCGTCGAGCGCGCAGCGAAATCCAACCCCTGCCCCCGCGCGCCTGCGATCCATTCCAGAGGATTCATGCTTGGTGGGGTTAGGCTTCGGATGTCGCCGCCTATCAGGGGCCCCCACACCGTGTGGTGAGTCAGTGGGAACTCGGGGTCACCGCACGGTTTTGGGACTTGTGTCGTTCTCCAGGGACGTCTTAGGCGACTGGGGCCTCCAGGGTCCCAAATCAGTGTGGTGATGGACCGGGCGGTTAGGTCTTTGGGGATCCCGAGGTCGCCGCACGGTCTGCGACCACGCCGTTCTGAGACAGTGCCTTTGCCTGGTGGGAGGCATTCGTCTCCACGGCTGGACTCGCGTCGAAGATCTGGTCGAAACGAAGCCCCGGGGAGGTCTTTATGTTTTTCCCCGAAGGTCTGCTGCGGGTCGCTGGTCAAGTACTTCGCGGTGGCGATGGGGCACGTGGCTGGCTTCGTGCAGTGCGAGGAAATTTCCAGGCCTTCCCAATGGGGTCTGAGCAGATGGGGTCGCAGGATCGCACCGCATCATCGATGCGTCGCCGATCCGGCTCGATCTGGAGTCAGATTTTCTACACGCCGACGGCGCCGATGCATCGCAGATACACCGTCGATACACCGTCGATACATCGTCGGCAATACATCGGCGACGCGGCGCGATCCTGTGGCTCCATCTACTCGGACCCCATTTGGGAGTTCCTGAGGAGAACATGATGACCTGGGACCACGCGAGCGGCGTTGTGTGCGTGGTGGAGTCGGGAGGGTCGGTGAGCGACGCGCATCGCCAACGCGTCTGGTTCCCTGGGCGTTCTTTCGGGGTTGCCGGCGGCATCGTGTGCGTGTCCCCGTGGTCGACCCCGCACATGCGCGAGCAGCTCTTGCTGGCCGCCCAGGTCTGGGGACTTGGGAGGGTCGCGCGGCGCGCGGGGAGGGCGAGCGACTGGGTGGCGTGGAGCCGCGCACGCGTTTCACGGACTGGTGGGCCACAGCCAGCCCAAGTAAGCATGTTGGCGAGGACTTGTGTCTTTCGGAGCGCGCCCTTCGCATCCATCCCCCCAACTTCCACTTCGCCATCCTTCCCCTCTCCCCCGCCTGTCCCTTCTCCAATCCTTCCACCCACCCCCAGCCCTCTTGTATCCCCCCCTCCCTCCGGTCCATCCCCTCGCGCCCCCCTGCCTTTTCTCCTTTCCTGCGAGCTCAAGATGATCGAGCAGCACGACGCCAGTCTCGAGTCGCAGCGAGCTTCGCGGTCGGGGAGGCGTTCGCACCCCACGTGCGTGAATAGTATGCATGTCGGTAGAGCGTCAGTGGTATACCCCAGACCCTATTGGACTATAGTGACTATAGTGTAATTCTACAAGGTCACTGCCGCAAGGTCACTGCCGTCGACGACACTATGCATGATTTTGAACGTCTGCAACTGACTCGCATGCGGGACGAAGGTCCCCAACGGTTTGTTGTGGATTGGGACACATTATTTTTGAGATGGCGTGATCCACCGGATATTCGAATCCGTGAGTCAGTGCTCCGAGCGCAGATCCGCTGACATCCATGGATGAAACAGGACATGCGCGACTACAACAAGACGGAATCGAATGACCCCAATTGCACCTGCGACTGGTTACGAGAACGTTCTCTGGCCACTATTGAATTGCACCGATTCAAACGCAACCAGCGCAACCTCAATAACAAAACGTGTCGTCACGAGCCAGTCGTCTGTGCTGCATTCAAGTCGGGACGTTGTAAGAACGGAAAACGGAGCAATATCTACACACAGGATCTGGCAACCGTTCAACACTACGACCTCCACGAAGAGCATCAACTGCCGGCAGAGATGCCTGCGAAAGACGCCCCTCTACAGGACGAAGTTCCAAGCCGTCACCCAATGACAAAGGCAAACAACATTTGTGTTTCGATTTCGCGAAACACGGCGCCTGCCCACGACAAGATCGATGCAAATGTCCACACATTGCCACATGCAGCTTCCATGTGGACCCAACCTTACACTGCAAGCGTGGCAACAGCTGCCGAATCGCCCACATCGATCTCGGCGCGACGACCTCCGAGCGAAGCCCCAGTCGGACACACAGCCAAGATAGCCGCAACAGGACACCTTCCCTGGCCCTGGGACGTGCGGGGGGCAACAGGTACTCCCCCAGACGTGCGGGGGGCAACATATACTCCCCCAACATGGGGCGGCAGAGCTCAAGAAGTCCGGGGGGCACACGTTGGTCACGCCGAGGAGCGCCATCCCCAGGACGCGGGGGGCGGCAGGGCCCGCGCAGTCTGGGGGGGACGCAGATGGTCACCGCGATCCCCGCAGCGCTCCCGATCATCGTCGCGGGACCGCAACCGCGACCACCATCAAGTACGTTCCCCCACCAGGAGCGACAGGAGCGGAAGCCGATCCGTATTCCGCGGCTACAGTCGATTACTTTGGACACGCCATAGGTACCGCTCTCCTGCAGCCACGCGATTCAGCAGACGACAGGACCGAACGCGCGCGATCCGTGACAAGATTTTGGTAATCACAGATCCGCAACCACGACGCCTACGATTCGACTTTGACAACATTGACGTCATCACCTACACTGTCCATCAAAGACGCCTCTAAAAGTCAAAAGAACCGCATGCCAATCAAAGCGGCCCCGTTGATGCACCCGACCCGTTGCCCGAATGGTGGTCGGAAGACAGCGCCCAGGCGCCCCGTGATTGCCAGACCGAGGCTCAATTATGGCACGATGACATCGTGATGCCTACCAGACTTCCTACGATGCCCGTCAAACCGTCGCAAATCGACACAGCGTCGATGGCAACGCGCGCAACAGAGTGCACCCCTACGACACGGCTCACAACAGCGTTGTCACGGACGTGGATCTTGGAAAGTGGCCCTGCCCATCACATCCAAGATAAGGCCGGTCTTTCACCGCATGAAACCACTGACCTGCACCAAGGACACGGACACATCTTGGAAGCAGCCAGCGGCGACAGGATCGTCAACGAACACATCCACGTGAAGCTGCCACACATGCGATTGTCCGCTCAGCCGTTGCGCTGGACGGCCCCCCATCGGCACTAAATGTGGGACAATTGGTGCAAGACGACAACGTCCGACAAACTAGGGGTCCACATTTGGGTTGCTACAGGACCCACACGGTCAATTGTACAGGGTTTTTGTTAATAGCCGCATCCCAGAACTCGACTTCGACAACCTTGAACGCATTCCACCGCCTTCGCTGTGCACCACGCCACACACATCATGACCTTCATCACACGCACGTCAGAATGGACAGGATGATTCGTGCCCGTTTGTGTGTACATGCTGCGTGGGTGATGCAATTGCGCTGGCGGGCGCACCCGCGTCCGCGCCCTTCGCTGGCGACCTCGCGCGTCGAGCACCTGCGCCGGTGGACGCGCCCGCGTCTGCGCCGCCAATGCGCGTCGCGACGCTACCTGGCTGACCTCGGCCACCCATCGGTCCCATGCGTTACATCACTCACAGCCCCAATCACCCTGACTTCGAGGTATGTGCACGCATCCTGGTGCACAACGCGCCATGCCGACGCCATCGCAGACCCAGCCCGCCAACGCAGCCCGCGAGGAGGACGTTCAATGCGAGGCATTTGTGCCCGAGTGATTCGGTGAGGCCCTGCCCGCCGACTACATTGTCCTCGCCGCAGATAACGCCGCAGACAAATATTGTGCCAGGTGCGCCCTGGTCGCGCAGGGTAAGCTTACGCGCGCCATCGCGGCGTATCCAGCGAAGCACAAGGGCGCCGAGACCACCTGGGCTCCTGCCTCGAGCTTCTCGCCGCCAACGACGAGGCGAAGCGCGTCTGCGCCGGCGCCTCCGCCGAGCCACTTAATGCGCGTCGCCCCCCGGGATGGCGGCGCGGCGCCAGCGCGCCGCATCGGCCGCAGAACAACGGAGTGGCCGAACGCGCTGTCAAGTCAGTTATCCAGGGTACCTGCGCGGTGCACCATAATTCTGGCTTGGGCCATGAATGGAGGGGAGAGGCTATGCAGACGCGGCGCGGCGGCCGCAACTTCACCGCTGGGCCCTTTCATGGCATTGCCGCCGCGCAGGAAGCATGCAGAGACCACGCGTCACATGGCGTCAAATTCGGCGAATCCCTCAAGAAGCACATCCTTCCGCGTGGCACTCGCATCTACTGGGGATTCTTCGCCCTCGCCATCGTCGCGGCCACGTGCGCCGAACGCCCTGATGGGCAGCATTGCCATGTCGAGAACATCGCGATCTCGGACGGAGGCTGCATTTTTCCTGTTACAGAAGGTATCCCCCGACATCGCAACCGGGAAGCACATGAGTTGATTTGTTTCTGACATCTCGCCCGCAAGGAGAACCCGCTTCAAGATGGCTTAATATTCTTATGCCCAGCTGAATGGGGCGACGCCAGCATCGCGTGGTTTCCCGAACCAAACTCCCCCGTAGCTTCCGACTCCGGAGCGCTGCCCCCCGAACCAGTTGTTCCCGAGGCAGAAGAGCCAGCGGCTCCAACTCCCGAGCTTGGTTTCTGGGGACATCGAAGTGAGGCAGCCCCGCGACGCATCCGCAAACCTCGCACTCAGCTTTCTCGCCCGATACCCTTCGTCTGGGGACCCCCAGGGGCCGCCCCGCGCGCGCGAATCATAATACATATATCCGTAAGGGCTTCGCCCCCTGCCGCCGGCCCCCCCTCTCGGAGAATGGGCCATGGAAGAGCTAAGTCATGAGGCCTTGGCGCTGTCGTGAAGCAGTATCGAAACTTCATGCGAATCCGATTCGCAATCAGCAAAACCAACTGATCACAAGAGGGGTTCCCATACCTGGCGATTGGTAAGACGTGTATGGTTTACGGGCTTGGTTACCACACCTTGCGATGAAAGGGCCGAGGGAGTTCTCGCAGTTTGGGTTACCACGCCTTGCGATGGATGTGCGTGAAGGGTGGCACCGAATTTCAGAAATGTGGCAAATCCCCTATGTTTTTGTACCCTGACCCCGCGGATCTGCGTAAGGGGTGGCGCCAGATTTCAGAAATGTGGCAAATCCCATGTGTTTTTGGACCCCGACCCCGCGGATCTGCGTGAGGGGTGGCACCGAATTTCAGCAATGTGGCAAATCCCTTGTGTTTTTGGACCCTGACCCCGCGGATCTGCGTGAGGGGTGGCACCGAATTTCAGAAATGTGGCAAATCCCTTGTGTTTTTGGACCCTGACCCGCGGATCTGCGTGAGGGGTGGCACCGAATTTCAGAAATGTGGCAAATCCCTGTGTTTTTGGACCCTGACCCCGCGGATCTGCGTGAGGGGTGGCACCGAATTTCAGAAATGTGGCAAATCCCATGTGTTTTTGGACCCTGACCCCGCGGATCTGCGTGAGGGGTGGCACCGAATTTCAGAAATGTGGCAAATCCCTGTGTTTTTGGACCCTGACCCCGCGGATCTGCGTGAGGGGTGGCACCGAATTTCAGAAATGTGGCAAATCCCTGTGTTTTTGGACCCTGACCCCGCGGATCTGCGTGAGGGGTGGCACCGAATTTCAGAAATGTGGCAAATCCCCTGTGTTTTTGACCCTGACCCCGCGGATCTGCGTGAGGGGTGGCACCGAATTTCAGAAATGTGGCAAATCCCCAGTGTTTTTGGACCCTGACCCCGCGGATCTGCGTGAGGGGTGTCGATTTCGAGCCCCCCAGCAATTCAGACAACGCGCCCAGGAGACGCTAAAAATCCTGTTTGGGCCTCCCCCCCCTCGCGCGGTCAATCAACTAGTTACAGTAACCAGCAATAAGTCATTTAGTTACAGTAACCAGCAAGAAGCAGAACTGTAACACTGGAAACTACAACCTACGACTGGTACAGGAAACTGCGAATCACGTGCCTACAGCCTGGTGGCCCCACAAGGGGGCCAGCGGATCCAGTCACCGGAGATCTTAGCACGCCTCTGGCCCGTTGGGCCGGCGAATGTTCGTTTCGGTGCCAACTGTAACACCGGGGGGAGTTCTTAATCGCTTCATGTCAGTGTGGGAGCGTGCAGTGTAGCAAAGAGGGGGGCAGCCGTCAAACCGAAGTCGAGATGAGCCGAAGCAGGCCCAGGCATCACCCGTAAATGCTTCGCGAATCGCTCGGTATTGAAGTCTTCAGCAGGCTTGCTGGGGCCATGTCGGGAGCTTTGGGGGCTCTCTCGGGGCCCTCTTGGGGGCCTTGGGGGCCTTCTCGGGGCAGTCTTAGAGGACCTCGATCAAAAGCTAGGAGTGTTGCTCCTCTGGGGGGTCCCGACAGATCGTCTCTTGGGGTCCTGGGACTCCCTTGGGCGCCCTTGGGGGCTGCTTGGGGCCGCCCTGAGCAATTATTGGATTCCCCTTGGGGAGATCTAGAGCTACATTCGAATAGTCTTGAGGCCTCAATCGCCGATCGAACGCGGAAAGGCAGGAAGGCACAAATGATCAGATGTATACACACACGAATGCGTTTGTGTGTGTGTGCGTGCGTGCGTGTGCGTGTGCGTGTGCGTGTGCGTGTGCGTGTGCGTGTGCGTGTGCGTGTGCGTGTGCGTGTGCGTGTGCGTGTGCGTGTGTGTGTGCGTGTGTGTGTGTGTGTGTGTTTGTGTGTGTGAGAGTGAGAGTGTGTCTGTGTGTGTGTGTGGGTGGTGTGTGTGGGTATGTTTTGTTGCATGGTTTGGGCCTGTTGAGGACTTCCTTGGGAGGCTCCGAGGCCATTTGGAGCCGTCTTGGGGCCCGCGGGAGGCAAATTTGAGGACATCTGGTGTTGACGTGGATGCGCTTCTTGAGTTGCGATGTTGCACGCGATGCTGCCTCACACAGTCGACCCCAACAATGTCAGCGTTTTCGGTCGGCCGGAGCCGTGCTTGACTCGATTACACTGGCTATTGGTGCATCTTTCAGTCGTGGGAGGAGGGCTACGAGTGAGCTTCTTGTGGAAGAGAGATGAAGGCACAAACGCCCGACAAGTTTTGCTGGCTACTTGCACGAGAAGTAACGTCGATGTATGGGCGCTTTGGTTGCAGATAGTCTTGGCATGGTCGCGGGGGCAAGGGCAGGCGAACATGAAGCCTTGACTACACTATTGCTACATACGGTGTTTCCACAGTTCCTCGACGCCGAGTACCACCTTGCAGCAGACGTGGCGGCAGTGATCCAGCGAGGCACCCTGACGCAAAGCTAGGACCGCACTGCTCCAGCGTGGCGTAATAGGGGGGGGCGATGACTGGGCGAGTGACGCAAGATGCGCCTCTGGAGTCCCGCAGGGGCCTCGGAAGGGACACGCCTGGGTCCCAAAAGGAGCACGAAAGGTGCTCGTGTCGGAGATTGACGAACCTCCTACCCTGACGTCGACTAGTGACTTGGCCGTTTTCGGTTCGCGAGAGGGCGTCGCGGCCGTCATTTTTGCGGGTCCAGGTCCGTCGGTTTCGGTCCCAGGCCGTCTATTAAAGGGAGGTTTGTCCACCGCCGAACGTGTCTTCGCCCCCCCGCAGTGAGCAGCGCCCAGACCGCTCTCCGGGAGGAGGTCACCCGCACGGGCATCGTTTCTCGTTGGCCGACTGCGGACGGGAGCGCCCCGTGGCCCCCTCCTGGCCGCGAGCCCCGGAGGCTCGTGGCGCTGCAGGCTCTGGGGACGGACCTGTGGCCTCCATGGTCCGGGCCGGACGAAAGAGAGGGGGGGGGCACCCCTCCGGCCCCGCTCCGGTCCCGACTCCGATCTGGTCCCGACTCCGTGCCGATGCGGCTGGATCCGACTCGCGTCCCGACCTCGTCCGATCTCCTGATGCGAGGCTGACCGATCCTGCCGCAGGGGCGGTGGGGGCCGCGCCCCGACGAGCACGGCACCGCGCCATCCGCCCACCTGCCGGTGCCTGGTATCGCTCGCGTTAATTGGCGAGGGCAATCATCGGCCCGAACGGAAGGGGGGGATAGGGAAAGGGGGGGTTACGAAATCTGCTGCATGCAGCTGGTTTCGGCCCCACCGAGGGGCCCAGTCCTCGATACATGGCCGCCTCCGGCGCCGGGAGGCGCCGGGAAAATCAGCTACTTGAGTCGATTCTCAAAATCCCCCTTTGCTATCCCCCCCTTTCGCCCGACCCGAATGATCGGAGGGGCCAGGAGGTGAAGCTGCTCGGTGCGGTCTCCCTTCTCGTCGGCGAGCCCAGGGGGGAACGCAGAGGGGGCGGGCCTTCTCAGAAGTGTTCTGAGCCTTCCCAGAAGACAGTTGACGGCCTCCCAGAAGGCCAGAGGTTGAGAAGCCCCGCCGCCTTCTGAGAAGGCCAGCCTCCTCTCAGTTCCCCCCCCGGCGCGCCGCCGATCTCGGGAGCCTTCTCTCCAGGCCTCCCCAGAAGGGTCCGAAAAGGTGAGGTCGGAGGGCAACACTGCATCGCCGATGCATCGCCGATGCATCGCCGATGCGGCTCGATGTGCAGCTCGAATTTCTCCGCGCTGGCGTCGCCAATGCACCGCCGACGTCGCCGATACATCGCCAATGCATCGACGCTGTATCCGCGATGCGGCGCGATCCTCCGACCCTACTACAGCCGAGACGCTGAAATGAGGACCACTTTGAGCTCAGGAGGGGCTCCGGTTGTCGTGACGTTCCTCAGGTGTAGGTTTGGAAGCTTACTCGTGGCCGAGAGGCTCGCAAGGGCCCCTGAGAAGCCCCTTCGTTCCTGATGGCAGCGTTCCCTATGGTAGCACGAGGCCTGTACGGTAGGTTCGCGTCGTGTGGACCAGCGGCGGCCCCGCCGCTGGCGTTCCACGTGGAACGCTGCCGGCGACCCGTTCTCCTCCTCCTCCTCCTCCTCCTCCTCCTCCTCCTCCGCCTCCTCCTCCTCCTCCTCCTCCTCCCCCTCCGCCTCCTCCTCCTCCTCCTCCTCCTCCTCCTCCCCCTCCTCCTCCTCCTACCCAGAATCTGTCGACGCTGAACTCGGGCCGGGCGAAAGGGGGGGATTGGGAAAGGGGGGGTTACGAAACTGCTGCATGCAGCTGGTTTCGGCCTCACCGAGGGGCCCATTCCTCGATACATGGCCGCCTCCGGCGCCGGGAGGCGCCGGGAAAATCAGCTACGTGAGCTGATTCTCAAACCCCCCCTTTGCTATCCCCCCCTTTTGCCCGACCCGATGAACGATCTGGCGCACCGTATTTGGACCCCATCTAGGAGGCCGCTGACCTGCGTGCGTGCGCAACGGGCTCACGGTCCGGGCTTCTCGGCCGCGAGCCCAGTCATTCGGAGGTTGACCGGGTGCCCACTCTGCTTGGAGCCGTCTGGATCGGAATTCTCAGGTGGTCCAGCATTTGTTCTGGCCAGCAGGAGGGGGAGGCGGGGTTCGAGGGTGAAACATTGTACCAGATGGAGCGCCCGGGAGGGGTCTGGGTACAGATGTTGAACGGATTTGGGCTCATCCCCCCTCCTGACCAACGTTCTGGAGTCCCAGCCAGCTCACCCCACAGCCGTCTCCAACCCTTTGCCAACTCGAGCAGCGCATTTCCCTGCTTCGGCCCTCGAGCGGGTGTCGCAGCCGCCGTCTTCGCAGGCTTGCGTCCGCTGGGTCACCGGTCCTGGGTCGCCTTTCCCGAGAGGCAGGCCTGGGAGAGGCCCGGCCAAACCGCAAGTGTTGGCCCGTAAACGGGCGAGGCTACGGCGCATTGGGCAAAGCGTGCACGTGCGCATAAGAGGGAGAGCAGAAGTTGTGCTTCCGAGGGGTGGGGGAGGACCAAGAGGTGATCGTTCCTCAAGCACGACTGCAATACGCTGCGAATGTATCTTCGTCACTAGACGGTGTTCTGCCAATGGGGTACCTGTCAACCCACGATTCGGGGGTCAGTGGAGGGGGACTTTTCTGGATGAGTCAGGACTCTGGCGCGCCCGAGAGAACAGCAGCCGTGTGTCGAAGTGTTCTCCACTGTCCGTTCTCTCCTGGTGGGATGTTCGAAGTCCTGGTCAGCAGCGCCCTGCTTCAGGGGGCCCTGGCAGACGGATACGGGGCAGCCTTGCGCAGATGCTCCGCGCGGGACGTATCCGTCGGGATGCACGTCCATGGGATCGCGCTGTGGTATGCAGACCGCGAGGTCATGAATATGGACATGCTCGTCGCTCGTGCTCAGCAAGTGCGATCGCGTACGCCGCCGCGGAGTTACCAAAAGATCATTGTGTGCTCTACTGACGCTGCTGCTCCTTCACACTGGTTTGTTCATCATCCATTCTTTTTCATGATGCCCCGCCTCGCACTCTACGCACCGCTTCGATGCTCATCTCATTTCAGAAGACGCCGTCATCGCAGGCTCCGGCTCATCCGTCTGGAGGCTCCAAAGCTCAGCGCAGAGTTTGTTTAGTGTCGCTCAGCAGCAGTTTGGGATACCAGTCCAGGCACTCTTTGCACCCCATCATCCAAAGCCACATGTTCTTCCCTCTTCGCGTGCCCCCACCAGCCCATCCAGAAACGATGCCCAGGCGAGTTGCCCTCATCATGGACGTGTGAGAGCATGCGACGTAACACAGGGGGCTCACCGTATTCTTTCGATGGACATGGCTGGCGGAGGGAGAAGGAAACGGAGGAAGAGTAGTAGTAGCAGGAGGAGGAGGAGGAGGAGGAGTAAGCGGAGGAGGCGGAGGACGAGGAGGAGGATGAGGAGGAGGAGGAGGGAGGAGGCGGAGGAAGAGGAGGGCGAGCAGAAGGAAGAGGATTTCTAGACGCTTCGCGTATCCCCACCAACGACTTTTGGGGTCCGCGTTCGGTTCGCCCCCACCTGCGGGTTGACCCGTGGCCGCCTCTTTCTAATTATCTGCAGGTGCACTCTGCGCGGTGTCGCGCCAATTATCTGTCGTTGTGCCCCAGCCTCGGTCACACCGCCCTCTGAACTTCTCCTTGCGGGCCGCGAAACAAAAAAGCGTATCCCCACCAGCTCCGCCCGCATCCTCCGCTTCGTGGAACGCGGACTCGACATCAGTCTTCGACGGTGTCTGGCGATCCGGACCTTGGTCCGATGAGCGCCTGCACGTGAGTTGGTCGACGCCTGGCGGCGCCTGGGATACGCCCGCTACTCGCGTGACGATGCGACCGTTGGTCCTGGCGCCTGCTCCCCGCGGTGCGTCTACGAGCCGGCGATCACTAACCTCCGGCACGCTCGCGGCGTCGCCCAACCAGAATACCCCGCCATTTTGGCGTTGCAAACCAGCAGGCGGCTTCCCCCCCAGTCGACGGCGCCCCCCTCTGACGAGAGCGAGGCCCGCCGCCTGTGTGTTCTTCCCTCCGCTGTCCTCGCGTTGCCTCCTTTCTTCCCCCCTCCTGCGTGCGCAATTCAGATCGTCGCCCGCCTGCTACGACCCTCGGACGGCGCACGGCGTCCCCAGTGCGCTTGCGATCCAACAAATTCCCCACCAGCTTTATAGCCATTTGGCTCGAGCGGCTGTTAGTGCTCAAGCCACGTTCGCCCCAGCTTGCCGTATCGGCGGAAAGTCGCCATGGCGCTCAAGTCGAAGAGACTCCCGGAGCTCGTCCTGGCCGCGCTGTGTCTCTTCGCCCTGCGCGGGCTCGCGTTCGTGGCGCCCTCTGGCGGCATGACGGCGCGCGCCGGCCCATGCGCCCGCGCCGCGGGCGCCGCCCCCCCAAACAGTCGACCCGCTCCGACATGACTAGCAAACATGCGTCAGCTTCTTGGACTCCTTCGCCACAACAAAAAAGGGACGCGCGGTCCATGGACGACGCGCTGCACCTCGGGGCTGACTGGAAACAGCCACGCGAGCGGTACTTGTGGCGTGGCGATGGCACGGGTAAGGAAGGCGATGTTTTGCCGCGGGAACAGGCGCCTTTGGTCCACGCTGGCAGCCGCAGCCGCGCTCCAGGACGGCCACGAAACCTGGGGGAGGAGCGTTCCTGGGCCTAGCATCATTGCCCGGCGGGCCCTGAAGGGTCAGTTTTGGTCCGGCTGGCACCACTGGCCGTCGCTTCAGCACTCACGGCGGAGCCGCCAGTCCTGGACCTGTTTCACAGCTTGCAGCCGCCCCGCGGGCAGCCCAACACGAGCTGCCCCTGGTCGCGCTGCAGCTCCTTGCCGACGAGAGGTGGCCCTTCTCCCTGCTCAGCCTGTGCTTAGCCCCGCTTGGGGGGCCTCTAACCTCCCCGCTGGATGGCGCGGGGCGTCCGCAGCCCGGCCAACCCCGCTTCCTCCTCGCACAGCACCTGTTCATCGCGTTGCCGCTGCCCGACTCCGCGTTCTGCTACCTGGGGACCTTGAGGCCGCTTGTCTCCTCGGCGTCCGTTTGGCGCGACTTCCTCGCGTTGCCCACGCCCGTCTTTCGGTGTCGCCCACGCTGTTCCTACGGGGTTGCCTTTTCGTTTCTCTATGTCTGTCTGGCCGAAGGGTTCATGGACTTCGAGTTAGACATGTTTACCCGGGGTTTCTCCCTTTGTTGTGGTTCTTACTCTGCCGTTCCTGCTCGTCTCGGAGGCGTTCCCGCGGTTCCTGCTGGCTCGCTTGTTCGTTCCACGTCTTGAAGACCTTCCGGGCCCAAGGCTTCGTGTTCAGCAATGTGCCTGAGGGGCATGGTTTGTCCGCTTCCTTTGTTCTCCTGGTCACCGCCGTCGTGGGTAAGCGCGGCGCACTCGGACTCCCCCCTCGTCATGGTCATCGTGCTGCTTATCCAGTTCTCACGTTCTGTTGGATTCTGAGCCCGCGTCTATGCTGGGCGTTGCCGGCGTTCGAACTGCTTCGCGAGCCCGCGCACCAAAAGTATCCCCGCCACCCCAGCCAGAAAATGATGTCCTTGCGGGTTGAGGTGATCAGGCCACTGCGGGAGCGAAGAGGTGGACGGCCGAATCGTGCGAAGGAAGGAGGAGGAGAAAAAGGAGGCCGAATGGATGGATGAGGGAGTGGGGAGAAGGAGGATGAATTGGATGAGGAGAAGGAGGAGGAGGAGGAGGAGGAGGAGGAGGAGGAGGAGGAGGAGGAGGAGGAGGAGGAGGAGGAGGAGGAGGAGGGGAGGGAGGAGGGGGGGGGGGGGGAGGAGGTGGAGGGGGTGGAGGAGGAAGAGGAGGAGGAAGAGGAGGAGGAAGAAAAGCAGTAGGAGGAGGAAGGTTGAACAGGAGGAGGAGGAGGTTAAGCAAAAGGGCCAGAGGTCTCTTGGATGCCTCTCGCAGCCTTTTGGGCTATTTCTTGGGCGTTTCTTGGTGGTTTCTTGGGACGTCTTGGGGCCTCTTGGCTGTCCTGGGGGGCTCGTCGGCGTCTTGGATGCCTCGGAGGGGACCTCATGGGGCCGCTTGGGGTCCTCTTTGGGGCCTCCTGGGGGCCTCTTGGGGGCAATTTTGGTGCCATGCAGGGGCCTCTCTGGGGTTTTTGGGGCGTTTCCTGGAGCCACGCTGGAGGACATCGATCAAACAAATGTTTTTCCCAACCATCCTGTGGTGTTGGGTCCTCGCTTTGCAGAGATAGCGCCCGCGTCCTCCTTCCTGCTTTCTCCTCACGCTGCCTCCCCTCCCTCTTCCCCCTTCCTACCTGCGTTTCACCCACCCACTACTGCGTTTCATGGCCCCATAGGGAGCTCCACCGAAGGCGCCGGTGGCAGGGTTCGCATGGCGGCTTCGGGCCATTTCGGCACACCCCTCGCGCCGATCGTGGCCCCATAGGAGCTCCACCGAGGGCGCCAGTGGCAGCATTCGCATGGCGGCCTCGGGCCATTTCGGGAAACCCCTCGCGCCGATCGTGGCCTCATAGGAGCTCCACCGAGGGCGCCAGTGGCAGCGTTTGCATGGCGGCCTCGAGCCATTTCGGCACACCCCTCACGAGGATCGTGGCCCCATTGGAGCTCCACCGAGGGCGCCAGTGGCAGCGTTCGCATGGCAGCCTCGAGCCATTTCGGCAAACCCCTCACCAGGACTGTTGCCCCATAGGAATTCCACCGAGGGCGCCAGTGGCAACGTTCGCATGGCGGCCTCGGGCCATTTCGGCACACCCCTCGCGCCGATCGTGGCCCCATAGGAGCTCCGCCGAAGGCGCCAGCGGCAGGGTTTGCATGGCGGCCTCGGGCCTCGCCGGCACATCCCTCACGAGGACCGTGGCCCCATAGGAACTCCACCGAAGGCCCCACTGGCACAGGGTTTGTACCGGGCCATTTCGGCACACGTCTCACGAGGACCGTGGCCCCATAGGGGTTCCATTGAAGGCTCCAGTGGCAGGGTTCACATGGCGGCCTCAGGCAATTTCGGCAAGCCCGTCGCAAGGATCGTGGCCCCATAGGGAACTCCACCGAAGGCGCCGGTGGCAGGGTTCGCATGGCGGCTTCGGGCCATTTCGGCACACCCCTCGCGAAGATCGTGGCCCCATAGGATTTCCACCGAGGGCGCCAGTGGCAACGTTCGCATGGCGGCCTCGGGCCGTTCGGGCACACCCCTCACGAGGATCGTGGCCCCATCGGAGCCCCACCGAAGGCGCCAATGGCAGGGTTTGCATGGCGGCCGCGGGCCATTTCGGCAAAGCCCTCGCGCCGATCGTGGCCCCATCGGAGCTCCACCGAAGGCGCCAGTGGCAGGGTTCGCAGGTTGGCCCCGGGCAATTTCGGCACACGCTTCACGGGGATCGTGGCCCCATATTTGTGCTGCTTCAACATCCGCGCCTTGGCGTCGTCCCCCGCTTTGTCAATGCCACCTCCGTCCTCACGGCTCTCGGAGCCCTTTCATGCTTCTGTTCCTCGGTCAGAGGGACGCCGTCCTCGTCGTCGTCGGCGCCCGCGGAGACGGCCACGAACGCGTCCCTGAACATGTCGGGCTCCGGCGGGGAGCCGTGGCCACATAGGGAATGCGGGCGAAGATGGTATTCACAATTGCGGTATTCACAACTGCATGTGGTCGGGTCCTTCGCCAGGCTATTCTTGTAGCGTTGCCCACCCCAGAGGCCCAGAGGCCAACATAATGCCCAAACCCGGGTAAAACAAATGATTTCGGTTTTCTCGTTGAGGCCGTTTTGGACGCTCCAATGGGTCGCGGTACCGCCCGCCCAGGTCCAGGGGAGGGCAGGGGGGATGGGCCAAGCTACCCACCCGCCCGCAAGTCGTCTAGCTCACTCCCACCCGCCCTCCTTGCACAAAATAACTCCCGAACCTCAGCATGTTCAGCGGCCGTCTTTGGATGGGCAGCTACCAGGCACCAAAG